ATACATAATGTTATAAATGTATATTATAAAATAGACTCAATCAAATTCTATCGTTTTGAAACTACCGTCCACGTCAAATAGATGTCTTGCTTGTGCCCATTCGCAGCGACTCGTTTACTCGATTGTTATTTTCGTCCTCCACGAACCATTCGGAAAAGTCCTCTATCTTCTTAAATTGTACGTCCATTAATTCTTGTATAGGACCTGCTTTTCCACCAAGTTCATTTGGTAATGCTTCTATCGGAAAGTACGTTTTTGCACTTTCTAATGACGTGTGAAAGTGTATCTGCAAAAAGATATTACTCAGTATTACATATTTTTTATTAAACAGAATTTTTGGAAGACTTTAATAAGTAAACGTATGTAATGCAGTATGATATTGTTGCAATCTTTTCTAATGTTATGACGTAAATTTCTTATATATGTTACATCGCGTGCTCCTTTCCTTCTCTTCCTACGAGTAGCAGCGGATCGCTAGAATAATAATTTTGTCGAAGATGAATGATTTGTTAAAATTTAAAATAATTTTACCAGATTTTGCAGTTTCTCGCTTATGAAAGGTTTTAGTATGTTGTATATTGTTTTTATAGCTAGCGTCGTATTTATTATGTGGATCTGCTTCAGACGTATTGGCAAGGCATCTTGGATGTAGTATATGAATTTCTTTGTTAAAGCTAAGTTTGTACGCCATACATGTGCCATTGTGAAGCCCGTGGCATCACAGACAAGGATATTTCCTAATACTGATCCACGAGTCCAAAGAAATTCCTCGCATACCATGGAAGCAGCATTTAGAAGCTCATTGAAGAAGTAACGCGATGGATCCATATCGACAAAATGTGCCATCAGTATGCTATATCCTTCCTTTGTCGTAGACTCTAATCGAAGTATAGCCCTTTTTTACCAAGAGTAAAATTACTTATAGAAACTTCTTATACGCAAATTTTTATTATATTATTCCAAATATAATTTCTAAATATATTAGACTATATAATTTCTAAATGTTATAATTTTTTAAAACTATAATAGAATTGTTGAAATTTTACAGACGAAATTTGTGACAAGACTATATAGAATATGAGATTATGAGACTATGAGACAAGTATTTATACGTATAATAAATTGCATAAGTACATGTTCAAGTTGTAAGTATATGTTTAATTGTCAGTGTCGAGAAACTTTATGCTTACGCGTGTTTAAAAGCATCTCGCAGTCGTTTCACTTTCCGTATCTCTGTTGGAGAATAGTTCCGTATGTGAGTTCTATAAGTGTAGTAATTCTCGATTGTGCTCTTCGTCGGCTCTATACGATAATAATTTCTGTGTAGAAATATGGCGAGCTCCACGTCCTGGATTTTCGGCAGATGTGATTGTTTCTCACACCATTCTCTTAGAATCTGTATATCTGACAACTTTAGTTCTGGATTCTTCTTTAGTTCTTCTTCGAGAGTAATACACTTTATGAGAGACATCACACTTAAAGGTCGTATGTTCTATAAGGTTCTCTCTCACTTTACAAACACACTCTACTAATCTATCTCATTTATTGTCTCTATTTATTTATTAAATTCTTAATAGAATTTACACTGTTTGTCAAATTGTATGATAACAGTACGAATGAGTTTATTCGATTAGTAATAATTTTGCTTTCTAATAAACGTGATTCGCTGAATCAAATCTTTACGTAACGTCTCGCTGCAACGTTTATGATATACTGCTCGTAACTGCAAGCTATTCGTGACAGATAAAGATCTTGACCATTGATCTTCCCTACTCTTGTGGTGAGCATATTTTAACTTCATTTCTTCATATGTATCTTACGGATGTAAATCTAATGCACTATATTATCATCAGCACTTATAATATATGTATTTTATACAAAAATATTCAAAATTGATTATGTAACATAATGTGCGCGCTCTTTCTCTCTCTCTTTCTCTGTCTGTCTCTATCTCTCTCATTCTATTTTTAGAAGTCATTTTCTATAATTCGCATTTGGAAAAGCTGGCATATATATATATATATATATATATATATATATATATATATATTTAATTTCGTTAATTCTTTTTATAAAAATGTAATTGCGAGGTTGCTTTGTTAAATCTATCTATGTTTCTTTTTCGTTTACATTTTGTATCGGAAGCAAGTTTATCTCTTCAGCTGGTTCAGATACAGATACAGAAAAAAATATATTTATATTAATTTTTAGATCCTAGACAATATTGATTTTATTGCGCGTTGTGTCACTTTAGAGGATTTTCCATTAAAACATTCGAATTAGCAACGTTGTCCTATTGGTGAGGAACAAAGAGCGATAAAGAAATTGATATAAAGTAATAATAATTATTTAATGAAGGTAGACATATTTTCATTTAACTATGAAAACATGATATAACATAAATAAGCGTTTTGTTCCTTGTTAAATTACAGAATAATATACTTGCTTTATTTGATTTTTACTTAATCAAATTTTTATTTAATTTTATATATGAAATATCACGCGTGGCATCTTCAATTATATTTTCACATACAGTTACTCGCATTAATATTCGGACACCATGATACTTTAGAAATTATTACTCTTTAAACATAGTTTTTATTAGAATAAGGAGTTTATAGTTTTTTAAAAAAATTGAAACATTCATTATAGCTGTCAGAAACATAAATTTTATTTATAACATTGATATAATTTGCAATATATTAAACAATAAATAGAATTATGCTTAATTTTATTACCTCAAAAGTATTCGGACACTAAGTATATTTTATGTAAAGAGAAGCCTGAGAGCAGCCACGCCATACGTTTTGGCCGAGACCAATTTTCACGTTGGTTCAATGCGTCATTTGCATTTTTGAAGTGGAATTACGTTCCCTACGTCCATTTTCAGAGGCTGAAAATGGGTCGCAAAAGCAAAAATGCTTTATTTGATCAATGCCAGCTTGTTTTTTACCATGATGAAAAAGGCAAATTATATCGAGAAACTGGTGAATCATTAAATTTAATTTACGTAAAAGTACAGTAGAAGATATCATAAAAAGATATATTCGTAAAGATCTTATTGAATCGATATCTCAGAAAGGCCGTCCAAAATTACTTGGTTTACGAGATAAACGTAAAATTATTAGAAAAATTTAAAAAAATCATGGTTTAAGTGGGCCACAATTGACTACAAAGTTATATGAAGAGACTGGCAAGAAGATACAATTTGATACGGTTCGTCGAGCGTTGAAAAAAAACGGTAGAATTGCTCGTAAGTAGCCATTCATAAATGAGGTAAATCATAAGAAAAGATTAATTTTCGCGAAGGAGTTTATTTCTAAACAACAAGAATGGTGGAATGATGTAATATTCGCTGATGAGAGCAAATTTAATATTTTTGGATCGGATGGACGGAAAATGGTATGGCATTAAGCAAACGAAGAACTGAAAATAAAAAATTCAAGAGCAACAATAAAATGCGGTGGCGGGAATTTAATGGTGTGGGATTGCATATCAACTTCAGAAGTGGGCGAATTAGTTTTCATTGACGGAATTCTGGATATAAATAAATATTTAAGTATTCCAAAAGACAATTTAATAAAAAGTGCTAGCAATATGAATATATGAGACAGTTTCAAATTTTATCAAGATAATGATCTGAAACATAAATCACGAATAATACAAGAATATTTATTATATAATTGTCCAAAAGTATTACATCCTCCACCACAATTACCAAATTTAAACAGAGAATTTAAGGTATTTATTGGATGGTAACGTTCGAACTACACTTATAAGATCCAAAGAAGAATTAAAATTACGATTAGAAGAAGAATGGAAACGTATTACATCTGATTACTTAACAAAAATTATTTCTAACATGTCCAAATGTTTGCAACATATTATTAAACGGAAAGCTTACGCAACAAAATACTAAAGTTATTATTATTTGGTTAATATGCAGATTTATATTATATTTTGTTAGCGTCCGAATACTTTTGCTGTAATAGAATTAAGAATAATTTTATTTTTTGTTTAAAATATTCAGAACTGTATAAATTATATAAATAAAATTCATGTTTCTGACCACCATAATGAGTGTTTTTTGAAAAACTATGAACTTCTTATTCTAACAAAAATATTGTCGCACATTCACGCATTTTTATAATTCTTCGAATGTTTTCTTATTACTCTTCATCCAAATTAACAATGTGGATTGGATGAATGTCAGTAAATGCTAGGTTAAAGAATAAAATAAAGAAAGAACATCCTTCTTTCTCTTGCATGATTTTGCCTGGATCTCCTTATGTTCAGATTCTTATTATAGGTTCTCTAATTAAACCCAAATTCATTAATCGGGCATTTTGTGATTGGCTAGTAGAGTCTTGTGACGTCATTAATCGATCCCGAATCGATTAAACTAAGTCCAGTCGATAATAACCATTCAAATATTTTGGCGAGGCTCATTTAAAACATAGTCGAGCATAAAAAAAATATTAAATTTTTATTATTATTATTCCCGGATTTTGATAGCCGTCACTTTAATCAAGTCAACGCTGCGTTTCTTAAATAAATGCATCCATAATGATAAGTCAATAAGTCAATATCATCGATAAAGATAATGCAAAAATAATGATAAGTTCTGCACGTTGGGTTTTACGGATACAAAATATAACGTATGAGAATTGGGAACCAACAAAAAATGTTGTATTTTGTGAAATATTTATATTTATTTTCAAACATTCCATTGTATTACTCTAATACGCTATCATTTTGTCACGCATGTCTTGTTAAAATATTCGATTCATGTAAGAAACACGGAATTGACTTGATTAAAGTAATGGCTATCAAATTCTAAAAAAAATAATAGTAAAAATTTAATATTTTTTATAATCGACTATGTTTTAAATAAACTTCGTCAAAATTTTGGAAATTTATGATTATTCATAAAATTATAATCTTTAATTATACGAAATACAACGTATGTTGTGTTGAAGATTATATTAAAAATTGTCCTGTTTATAGAAATTAATCGATTTAATTGATAGTCACAATTATAAACCAAACTAGGGGAAATAATGTACAGTTTTCACTGATAGAATAACGCATTGCACTTGTCACAAAATGTTATTTGTATTTTATAGAAAGTTGTGGTAAATCTTTTGTAATGATTACACAGTAGCCATTTTCTTGTTTAAAGCATTCTTGAATATTTACATATCTTGAACATTTTACATATTACATATTTTAATTCTAATATTTTAGACTTATTATTTAATATTTTAAATATTTATTGTCACGTCGATTTTCATTACTTGTAAAAAATTTATATCATAATTTATATCATAATAAAATTATTAAATGTATGATGAAATAGTAATGTAATTCGAAATTCATGTATCCTTTATTTTATATTATTGCCACCCCATTAATTGTATAATTATTTTTTTAGATATAATTAATTATATTTTATACGTATCTTAATTATAACACCATTATACATAATGGTGTTATAACATTAGTTACTGAATGACTTAACATTTTAATGCTTATAAATTCCTGTAACATTATATATATTATAAAATAGAGTCAATCAAATTCTGTCGTTTTCAAACTACTGTCCACGTGAAACAGATGTCTTGCTTTTGCCGATTCGCAGCGACTCGTTTACTCGATTATTCTTTTCGTCTTCCACGAACCATTCGCAAAAGTTCTCTATCTTCTTAAATTGTACGTCCATTAATTCTTGTATAGGACCTGCTTTTCCACCAAGTTCATTTGGTAATGCTTCTATCGGAAAGTACGTTTTTGCACTTTCCAATGACGTGTGAAAGTGTATCTGCAAAAAGATATTATTCAGTATTACATATTTTTTATTAAACAGAATTTCTAGAAGACTTTAATAAGTAAACGTATGTAATGCAGTTTGATATTGTTGCAATCTTTTCTAACGTTATGACCTAAATTTCTTATATATGTTATATCGCGTGCTCCTTTCCTTCTCTTCCTACAAGTAGCAGCGGATCGCTAGAATAATAATTTTGTCGAAAATGAATGATTTGTTAAAATTTAAAATAATTTTACCAGACTTTGCAGTTTCTCGCTTATGAAAGGTTTCATTACGTTGTACACTATTTTCATAACTGGCGTTGTATTTATTATGTGGATCTGCTTCAGACGCATTGGCAAGGCATCTTGGATGTAGTATATGAATTTCTTTATTAAAGCTAAGTTTGTACGCCATACATGTGCCATTGTGAAACCCGTGGCATCATTGACAAGGATATTTCCTAATACTGATCCACGAGTCCAAAGAAATTCCTCGTACACCATGAGATTAGCATTTGTCGATTCATTAAAGAAGTAATGCGATGGATCCATATCGACAAGCCGTGACATCAGTATGCTATATCCTTCCTTTGTCGTAAGCTCTAGTGGAAGTACGGCCCTTTTTTACCAAGAGTAAAATTACTTATAGAAACTTCTTATACACAAATTTTTATTATATTATTCTAAATATAATTTCTAAATATATTAGACTATATAATTACTAAATGTTATAATTTTTCAAAACTAGAATGGTTGAAATTTTACAGACGAAATTTATGACGAGACTATGTAGACTATGAGACTATGAGATTATGAGACAAGTATTTATACGTATAATAAATCGTGTAAGTATATGTTCAAGTTGTAAGTACGTGTTTAGCTGTCAGTATCGAGAAACTTTGTACTTACGTGAGTTTAAAAGCATCTCGCAGTCCTTTCACTTTCCGTATATCTCTATTGGAGAATAGTTCCGGTATGTGAGTTCTATAAGTGTAGTAATTCTCGATTGTGCTCTTCGTCGGCTCTATACGATAATAATTACTGTGTAGAAATATGGCGAGCTCCACGTCCTGGATTTTCGGCAGATGCAGTTGTTTCTCACACCAATCCCTTAGAATTTGTATATCTGACAACTTAAGTTCTGGATTTTTTATTAGTTCTTCTTCGAGAGTAATACACTTTATGAGAGACATCACACTTAATGGTTGTATTTTCTATATGGTTGTAGTTTCTCTCTCACTTTATAAACACACTACTAATCTATCTCATTTATTGCCTCTATTTATTTATTAAATTCTTAATAGAATTTACACTGTTTGTCAAATTATATGATAACAGTGCGAATGAGTTTATTCGACTAGTGACAATTTTGCTTTCTAATAAACGCGTTTCGCTGAATCAAATCTTTACGTAACGTCTCGCTGCAACGTTTATGATATACTGCCCGTTACTACAAGCTATTCGTGAATAAGAAAGATCTTGACCACTGGTCTACCTCACTCTTGTGGTGAGCATATTTTAACATCATTTCTTCATACGTATCTTACGCATGCATATCTAATACATATTATGATCAGGATTTGCAATATATGTATTTTATGCAAAAGTACTTAAAATTGATTATGTAACATAATGTGCGCGCTCTTTCTCTCTCCTTTTCTCTGTGTCTGTCTCTCTCACTCTCTTTTTAGTAGACATTTTCTATAATTAATAATTGGAAAAGCTGGCATATATATATATATATATATATATATATATATATATATATATATATATA